AAAAAAAAACTCAAAATTCAAAGTAAGGTGAAATGGTAGCCATAATTTTTTTTTTTCAATTTCACCTTCTACGTTGTATTAGTTGGTGATTTGGCTTGATGATTTGTTTTGTATTGATTTTTATGGTTCTTAATTTTATAAAAAAGAATTTAATTTTTTTTGTAAAAAATAAAAAAAATGAGGGAACAAAAATAATTTTTTTGGTGAAATAGCATCCCTTTAGAAAAAAAATATTGTCATTGTTATTTTATTTTATTTTTTTTGAAGATTTAGCTTAAGTTTTTATCCAATTTCTTTTTTTGATCCCTTTAATTTGAAAATGATATTATTTAGTTTAAAATGTTATTTTATTCACAATTTAGTCATTTAGTTTAAGAGGGGAGAGAGAGTCATTGAAAAATAACAAATAAGAGAGAAGGAGGTTGGTTGCTCTAATTCTATAGATAAAAATGATCAAATTACGACAAAAATGTCTTTGAGATGTTTTTGGACTTCAATGTTACTAGAAAAAATATATTAGAGTTGCTAGAGTTCTTTTCAATTGAATTTTATATGTTTTTAAACTGAGATTGAGAGTTTTTTTAATTGAGAAATTGATTGTTTGAATAATATTTTTTTTAGATGTTTTTAGATGAATTAAGAATGCATTTTAGATATTTAATTTGACACATTAGATTAATCTCAATACAATTTATTTTGACACCAAATTTAGAAAAGAATATGGATGGAAGGTTTAAAGGTTGAATAACTATGTTTAGTATGATGTCATTTCTAAATAGTTCACTATAACAATGCATAAGGGTTGTATTATTGTTATATTTGTTTCTTTTTAATTGATTCACATTAAAATTACTATTTTTTATTTCTATTTTAAAAACATGACTCAATTTTATTTTATTTTGTAATGTTCGAAGAAATTTTGTCACGGGCAACCTATCTGGTGATAATCTAAATTGGGATCAACCTAGGTCCCGTTTGTTTGCAGGAAAGTAATTTTTTTTTTAAAGTGAATTACGAGAAAATGAATTATTTTCTGATGTTTGGTAGTGTAATGAAAAATAAGTTGAAAAATATTTTCCAGTTTTTGGTTATGTCATGGAAAATGAGCTAGAAAATAACTTATTAATGTTTTATTTTTGTCAAATTTATTAAAATAATTAGGACTAAATCTTACAAATTAAAAGGTTGAATGAGAATAAAATTGAAAAAAAAATATAATTCATAAATTATCTCAAATAAAATAAATGATAATCAAAATAATAAAGATTAAATCTAAAAAAAACGATGAAGAAATTAAAATAATAATAATTAACATTTCATAAAGTATTTCAAATAAAATAAGTAACAATCAAAAGAATGAGGACCAAATTTGATAGATAAAGAATTAAAAAAAAATAATAGGAGAAAAGTAAATAACAACTATAAAAATAAGGACCAAAATTAATATAAAAATAAAATTTTAAGAAATAAAATTGAAAAATAAATATTCAAAATAAAATATATATAGCAATAAAAAATTTGAGGATCAATTTTGATATAATCAGCAAATAATGATATTTCTAAATTTTTCATAACTTCTGAAAAGTGTTTTCTGTCCAAATTTTTCAGGAAAACACTTTCCTGAAAACCAAGTTAAAATTTTCTTTGATTGAAAAGTGTTTTTTGTTGACTAATTTTCCTAACAGCAAACAAATATTATAAAGTTTGGAAAGTGATTTCTCGAAAATCACTTTGCAGAAAACAAACACAACTAAAATGTAAAATATTTTTCTGAAAACAAAGTTAATTTTTTTTTTAACTGAAAAGTGTTTTATGTCGATTGGAAAGTGTTTTTTATTAACCAGAAAGTATTTTTTATTAATCAATTTTTTTAATGACAAACAAATATAGAAAAGTTTGAAAAATAATTTTTTTAAAAAAAAATTAAAAAAATAAACATGTTCTTAAGAAGAATTCGTTTTATATTATTATCCATGCTCATGATTCTCAATTTATTTTATATATATATATATGTCAATGTCATTAGATTTTAAATTTATAATTAAAATTGATCCTGCCGTTTCATCCTCCACCTCGCGGCGGAGTCCTCGGCAATCATCTAAGTAATAGCCAGGTCAACATTTTAAAATTTTAATATGTGGAGGTGGTGAACCGACCACCGACATTTAGTTGATGAGTTGACTTATCATCAGCCTTATCATCATAGAAAAAACCACAACACCATAAATCCCTCTCCATGCCACGTACTCCATCTCCGGAAACCGTTGATCATAAAATCGTAGCCATGAATACACGCAAGCAACGAGTGACTAGACTCCACGTGGTGGCACAAAGGTGTGAATGTGAGGTGGGAAGCAAGTCTGTTATTGCGTATTTGCCTTAAGAAGTACTCTCCATCATTCTCTTTAGCCATTACTTTTCTTTAATTGCTTATATAGCTTAGCTACTCTTTCCCAAAGAAAAAAAAAAAATTATCTCGATAAAATTAATAAAGATCCAAAATTACAATACATGTTAATACACCAACGAGTTTTGGAATTGCATTTCAAAAAAAATTTGATGAAATTTTAAAAAATATTTATTTATATTTTTAAATCATTTTAAAATATTAATATAAAAAAATATTTTAATATATTTTTGAGTAAAATATATTTTAAAAAACAATCAATACAATATTTTTAAACATTTTCATATTTATTCATAAATATCTTAATTTTAAGGGGGAAAAAAGAGTGTTTTTACACTCACTTCATACTTTTAATTAGGTAATTACCACTATTTGTTTTTTTTTTAAAAAATTTAATTATTTGGATGAATTTTCTTTTTCTTTTTATCTTTTTTTCTTTAAGAAAAGAGAAAGAAAGAAGTTCAACCATTTGATGCTAGATTTTTGTGGAACTTAAATTCATGTTACCAATTAGTGAGCTTATTATTTAAAGAGTTGATTTATTTTAATTAATTACTTTATACATCCATCTATGTTGTAGTCAAGATTTTGATTGAGATTTATTATCTTTATTGTCAATTACTTGGAGAAACGCTTGTGTCAAACTACAACAACATTTCCTTATATAAATCGAGATAAAATAATTAGGAATAATATCTAGACCAATTCTTTAACATTAAATTTGTAATAATAGGATCATATATATTTAGACCAATTTAAAAAGAAACAAGAGAATTACATTTTAAGGATAGGAGACACGCATTAAGCATTATATAAATATTTTATAATATTTCAGTTATTGTTAAAAAATAGAAAAAAATATTAAATTAAAAAAATTGATTAAATATATTAAATTATTATTATTGTATGTGGTAATATTCTTAAGTATTTATAATAAATTCTAAAAAAACATGAAATGATTAAAATTATGGAATGACTCTTGATAATTGCCCGAAGAACTCTAAAAAAAAATTACTAATAAATTCTTAAAATTTTCTAAAAAAATCTACACAATTCTAATGCATGAATCTCTTCTATTGATTATATTTGGTTATTGTTTTGGAATAAAAAAATAAATTAGTAGAAAAAAATGCATTTGGTTGAAAAAATATGAACATAAAAACAAATATGCATCTTAAGTAATTTTGGAATGAATTTATATATTTTTAAAATAAAATGTATAAAGGACTAAAATGAATTTATATCTCTAGAGAATTTTATTCCTAAAATATCACTATTAAAAACATTTAATTCAAAACATGTTCAAATGAGACATGTTAGGATTGAAATGATTATTAATGTAGTTTTAAAACTCCATAAAAAAGACAATCTAGGCAAGATCTTAATCATGGATCAAGAGGATTAACCCAAGTTTATTCCAAAAAAGTTTTTTCTTAAAAGATCAAAATAAATTGTTTTTGTAAAAAAAAATTTTTTTGACTGAGTTTGGTAATTGAATAATCAGGTCACAAGTAAATTAAAGTTTTTGATCAAATCAATTATTCCTCTATTTTCTCTTAAACATAGACCGATCTAAACTCTAGATTTGTAAGGTTTTATGTTGGCCATTCAGCCAAATTAAGTTTTATAATTAGAATTATTATACTATTATTAATTTCAACAATTGATATACACTAAAATAAAAAAAATATCTAACTAGTTTTTTAAAATATTAAAGCTTGATAATAATACATATTAGAAATAAAATAAAATATTTTATTTTATCTTGTTTATCATCAACTAAATATAATACATAAATAATCAATGTGAAATATATGTCATTACATAACATAATTCAATCTCTAAAGAAAATAATAACATAAATAGAAGTAATAAGCATAGTTATTAAATCTAGACCAGTCCTGCAGGTCGACTCGGTAGCTGAACTAATCCGAGTTTGTTAGAAAATCGGTCGGTGCAACGACTTATCCAAACCCGAGCGAGACTTAGTGTTTTTTTTTAAATATTATTTTTCTCCTATATGGTTTTTTTCATATTTTTTTAAGTTAGTTATTAATACCTTTTAAACTATATAAACATTAGAAAAATATTTTTTTTTTTTAATGTAGGATTTGAAACCCTTTAATATATATATATTTTATGTTTAGAAGTTATTTTTTTAATATGAGATTTGAAGCCTTTAGTATATATATTCTATATTCACAAGAAAAAAATTATATTTTTTTATTGTGAGATAAAAAACTTTTTTGACTTAAACATTTCAACTTAAAAGCATAATATAATATTTTTTCAATATAGTAAAAAAACTTTTTAAAATTTCATTACTTACAATATATATAGTTTATATTTATATGAAATTTTTTAATTTAAAATATTAAAATTAAAATATTTTTTTAATTTTTTAAAATTAATTCATAAAATTCAAGAGTCAACTGGGTCAACTTCAAACCGAATTTGATAACTATGGTGATAAAGTCCAGCTACGTCCAGACAATTCTAATGACCTGTTTTCTTTTCACTTAAAAGGCACAAGGAGTAAAGAGCATATACCCTTTCCTTATAAAATCCTATCCTTTCTTACCTTTACAAATTGAAAAAAAAGAAAAAGAAAAAAGAAAAAAGAAAAAAGAAGACGCTGACACGTATCCAATCATGAAAGCCAAAATGCAATTTCATCCACCCTTCCCCTTCCATTTAGCTCCTCGTCCTCCACTTTTCCTTTCTTAAAACAAAAACACCAACAGCACAAAAGAAAACAAACCTAAAAAACAAAATAAAAATCTCACCCTCTCATATCTCATCTCTCATCTCTCCAATTTCCATGGCAACCAACAAAACCCCAAACAACATTAGCAACCAAAGCCAAAGTCCTCTGCTCGGTCGGTACGAGATCGGCAAACTTCTTGGACATGGTACTTTTGCTAAAGTATACCATGCTAGAAACGTTAAAACCAACGAAAGTGTTGCCATCAAAGTTATTGACAAAGAAAAGATCCTCAAGGTTGGTCTTATGGCGCATATCAAACGTGAAATCTCCATTCTTAACCGTGTTCGCCACCCCAATATTGTCCAGCTTTTTGAAGTCATGGCTACAAAAGCCAAGATTTACTTTGTCATGGAATATGTTCGAGGCGGTGAATTGTTCAATAAAGTTGCCAAGGGTAGGTTAAAAGAAGAGGTCGCCAGGAGATATTTCCAGCAATTGATATCTGCCGTGGCTTTCTGTCATGCCAGAGGTGTGTTTCATCGCGATTTGAAGCCAGAGAATTTGTTGCTTGATGAGAATGGGAACTTGAAAGTTTCGGATTTCGGATTGAGTGCAGTGTCTGATCAGATTAGACAAGATGGTTTGTTCCATACTTTTTGTGGGACTCCTGCTTACGTTGCTCCTGAAGTTCTTGCCAAAAAAGGGTATGATGCTGCTAAGGTAGATATTTGGTCTTGTGGGATTGTTTTGTTTGTGTTAATGGCTGGTTATTTACCTTTTCAAGATCAAAATATTATGGTTATGTATAAAAAGATTTATAAGGGTGAGTTTAGATGTCCTAGATGGTTTTCTTCTGAGCTAGTTAGGCTTCTTTCTAAACTTCTTGATACTAACCCCGTCACAAGAATTACAATCCCCGAGATTATGGAGAATAGGTGGTTCAAAAAGGGTTTTAAACATATTAAATTTTATATTGAAGATGATAAAGTTTGTAGTGTTCAGGACGAGGATGATGTGGGTTCATCTTCTGATCAATCATTATCTGAATCGAAATCGGAATTCGAAACTAGAAGAAGGGTTACCACTTTGCCTAGACCTGCAAGTTTGAATGCTTTTGATATTATATCGTTTTCGCCTGGGTTTGATTTATCTGGATTGTTTGAGGAGGGTGGGGAGGGAGCAAGGTTTGTTTCTGGGGCTCCTGTGTCGAAGATTATATCTAAATTGGAGGAGATTGCTAAAGTTGTAAGCTTTACAGTTAGGAAAAAGGATTGTAGAGTGAGTTTGGAAGGGTCTAGAGAAGGTGTGAAAGGCCCATTAACAATTGCAGCTGAGATATTTGAGTTGACACCGAAATTGGTTGTGGTGGAGGTTAAGAAGAAGGGAGGGGATAAAGGAGAGTACGAAGAGTTTTGTAACAGGGAATTGAAACCTGGATTGCAGAAGTTGATGCAGGAGGAATCTGAGGCAGCACCTGCTGCTTCTGTGCCTACTGCTCTTGCGCCATCAGAATCCTCACTATTCACCATCGATCCTTTTCCCACTGATTCTTCACAATCACCCATGGATCCTTTTCCTACGAATTATAAACAATTACTTATTGATCCTTTTCCTACCGATGCTTCACATTTACCTATCGATCCCTTTCCTACCAATTCTACCCAATTACCTATTGATCCTTTTCCTACCGATTCTTCACATTTTCCTATAGATCCCTTTCCGACCGATGCGTCAAATTTACCATCGGATTCTGAATATTAGAGAAAGAGAGAGAAAGGAAAAGGGTATGCTTTTCTCTTTACTTCTACTTGCATAAGCTTTTGTATGACATACATATATGTATTTTCGATTTCTTTGATGTTCTGTTGTGTCAGTTAGGGGATTAGATGCTAATACATGTTGCATGTTGTTTTCTTCTGCTGAGAGATAGTAGATTAATCGAAGAATGAAATACTTATTTCTGCTGATCTTGGCAATTCAGTGGTGACTTGTGTGTTAAATTAACTTATGTTGTAAATGTGATTGAAGTTGCTTTCTTGTGTTCATTCCCGCTGATTGTGGTACAGAGTGTTGCAAATACAAGTTTCATAATTTGGATTATGATGATAAAATCATTTAAAATTTCTTGTGCCCGGTCCTATCTCTGGGTAGGAATATACACTCTACCCCTGGTTATACAGCTTTCGCTTGGATGTTTTTGAAGTATGCAGAAAGCCTAGATATTGATTAGTTGCAAATATGATTGGTGAAGTTATTTGTCAACTCTCTTCATGGTAGGATTTCAATAACAGCAGTATGTAGGCCTTCTGGTGTTGCAGTTGATTCCTTGGCATAATTCATCCGAAGGGCAAGAACTATTTCTCATTTATATGGGGGCCATATTTAAATCACGAATAGTAGTTGTAACTTAATTTGTAGACTAAACGAATGATGCTAGGTCCTCTGTGTCAATGCTATTCTTCATGGGAGAAAAGATGTGTTGAAGGTGGACTTAGGATCTCTCAAATTCGGCAATCTGAAATGCAGGCCGTCATTATCTCAAATTAGTAAATGAACAAACAAAAGCTTGAAGTCATTTTTGCCTTATAAATTTGGTGAAAGGGGGAAGAAAATGTCTAGGGGCTTCCATTTAGTTGTCGGTCAATTGTATATTGCTAAAATGCTTGCCTGCTACCACAGAGCTTGTTCCAGTGAAAAATTGGGCTTTCTTTTCATCTCAGTTTTAAGGTGTCTTATTTCAGCTGAATGATTGAGAATGAGAGAATTGATGTGATACCCAATTGAACATCACTTGTATTTTCATCAATGCTTAATCTAAAGAATTTAGTGACTCTGTTTTACCCTCCAGCTTCATTTTTCTTCTCTCTTCTATCACCGCTTTGCCTTTTGTCGTGTATCACGAGTCATAAAACTTGTGCTGGAGCGAAACTTCGTGTTTTTTTCTCTTCAAAGTGACAAATTTACATTTTCAACATTTTAAAAAGGCCAAGGATTGATTCATTTCTTTCACGATCATGACTGAAGCTACAAGTTGACGTGATAATTGAGTGGCTGTGTTGCTGGTATAATACACGCTCTTGTTTCCAGCTTGCTTTGTCTCAAATTATTGAAGGTAGACGGGGCCCTAGTTTAAATCCATTCCCTTTCCAGGAATAAGACATGGCACGTTTTTTCGCTAGCGTATAGGGGACGTAGTACCTCACGCACGGACAAATTAGAGGCGTGCAGGCTTTATTCGTGGTCACTAGGCATGGCGTGCTGGGTCCTTCTTATTAGTTCCTTTTTCCGGCTATAGTGAAGTCCATTTGGCACCATCCATGCTTCATATTGATTATCTCTTAGCTCAATGATTCTGTAGCCATATCCGCTTATAGTGTGTCAAGATGGAAATTTGCATGTTCTTTCCAAGAAAAACTGGGCCAAGAGGGCAAAAGTAAACTGAAATCACTTCCATCTGGTGCAAATGAAGGTGATTACCATGAAACTGAACAGCTTACCAACTATCCATCTGGGAAAATGGCATTAATTAGTTCACTGGACATAAAAAGTATATTTCTGTGCGTTAACAGCACCCGTAATTGACTGTTTGTTCTATTGAGTTGGAAAATGCTAAATAGGGCAAGAATGGTAGTTGTCGCCTCTGACAACAAGAAGAATCAGACCAATGAAACATTTGTCATTCGTCCAGAGTCACAAACTCTTGGAGGATGAGGCTTCTAAAGTAAATTACATTGCCTTAATTCATATATTTAAGGGTAGTCTGCATACTTCATATCCGTATGAATCTATCATATACATTAAGCAAAACGACACTTTAATTAACAATCCATATGGCACTCTAATATTCTAATCGAATGATTAATTAATTTCAATTGGAATAGATTCTTCTTTCATTATATATGCATAGTCGTGACATTTGTGTTACATGCACAATTATGATGTATAATAGCGGAATATTTCAATTTAAAACACTTTCATTCAGCATTAAAGCTAGCATGTTAGCCCTTTGGTAATTATATTAATGTATTGTCTAGCCAAAGCCTTGCGACCTTCCATATATCTAATTACTCTTCTTTTCTCGAAGTCCCTCTTGCGAGGTCCCCACGGGAATCATTGTATCGTCACGAGATTAGGAAATTTGGAATCCAGGTGTGTTTCTTAATCTATTTATTGGATTAATCAAGCTGATGATTTTGATTTTTAGGGTGTAAGTGGGCCACTTGCATGGGTCAATTGGCGTTTGTACCTATGTGATTACAAAGTAATAAGCTTAAAGAGGTATTATGCTTATTTTCTTGAGTTTTTAGTCTAAGTCTTGAGAAAAACATTTGTAAAAATAATTAAATTTATTTCAATGCTTTAAGCAAATTATTTCAAGGGGCGTTTTTAAAATTGTTTGTGAAAAAAATATAGCTTTGATTAATGCATAAATTGATTAAAAAAAATACTCTTTAACGGTTTTATAAAGAAACTATTATAATCCACCATTTTATGAGTTGAAAAATACCATCTAACTTTAGGGAAAAAAACAAAACAAAAGAAAGAACATAGCATGCTGTCTTTAATTTACATTTTGGCTCCCAGCTTGCTAATGTAAATAAATAAGTGGGTTAGCCATCGGCGCATAGACTTATAAAATGATAGAGACATTGGCTCCTTCATATAAATTAAAATAAATTTTCGTAATTATTAATATAATAGTCATTAAAAATTTATATAATTATTAATTTTAAAACTTATAAGATTAATTAAGATATATACATCTTGATCTGAATATTTATATTAATAATAATAAAAAATTATTACAATAATTTAGAAGGATGGAGCGCAAAATATCTATCTACATTTCTATTTAATTAAGCTTTTTTAATCTTAAATAATTTCACTTCAGATGTCTCTTCTATTTAAAAAAATTTATTATTAGATATGATATCTAATTAAAAAAATATATTATTAGATATTTTAAGGTGAGGATTGGTTTTCTTAACTTGATTTTGCAGTAAAAACTTTTCGCCAAGACTTTAAATATTTTATTAATTAAATACAAATCAACTTGACATTAGGGGAGAGGTTTGTTTCTCCCAAAGCTTCCAGTAATAGTGAATCTTAGCTTAGCAACCTTAATTTTTTTTTCCTTGAAAAAACAAATGATGATATGTCATCTAAGGTAGACGACGTACTCAATTGCATAAGGTTATCAAAAGACAAAATTGTGCCACAACGGCTTGAAAAAAACATAACCTTCAAAATCATCTTATAGCCTTCCAAAACCAATTTCTAATTTTATATTCCACTTAGCTATAATACTATATTAGTGATTTGCGTACTATATTATAGGTCAAATCAGATTTTTTTAGTGTAAAAAAAATTAATATCTAGTCATTGTTAATATGTTTTTTAGCATAATTATTTTTTTTAATTATGAATTCAAAATTTGATGTATATTTAACCATATTTTTTTATATAAATATTAAAACAATAATATATTAAAAAATATATTTTTTAAATGTTTAGATTAATGATATATTAGACCAAACCCTGCTAACCTTAGATAATTTGCTAAATCTATGACCTAAATCATGAGATTACGATAACTTCATATAAAATAAATCAAAATATATTATGAAGTTTAATTCTCAATTAATAAAATATTAAAAAATAAAATTGATAAAAAAACATTCAAGTTAAAAAAAGATAAAAAATGATCTGATTCAACCCAAATTAATCTTCAAAACCCGTAACCTGAATCATAAAAATAAGATAACTTCATGAAAAATAAATTAAAAAAATTACGAAGCCCAACTCCCCACCAATCCAATATTAAAAGATATATTTAAAAAAAATATACTCAATTTAAATAAAAAGGACAAAAGGAAAAGGATTTGAATTAATTTAAGTTAGTTTGTCAAACTTCCAACTCGAGTTACCTGTATTAGGTTACGAGACTGGAATAAAATTAAATCCATAATTTTTTTTAAATCACAAAGTCTAATAATTAACTAATAATTTAATGTTGAGTGATGAATTTAAAAAGAAAAATAAAATAACAAAAAATACCAAAAACAAATGATCCAAGCCTAATGCCTCACAAGGACAATAAAAAAAGTCACATGCATTGTCAAAGCAATAACTTTAAAAAATAATAAAATATCATAAAATAAATATTTTATACTTATATTTAATTAATTAATTTTAAAATACTTATTGGTATGAAAATTAATCATGAGAGTAAGACCGGAAAAACTTGGTTATGTTAAACTTGTTTATTTTTTATTTATAAGCTATTTTAATCTATGTTCTAAACTATATACTACAAGTGATAAAGGAAAAAAAGAGATGAATACTAAATTTCCATGCCGAGCCTGACAACATTGGAAGATATGATGAGTGACATTATTTCTAGAAAGTTAACATGAAGGTGCTTGAGAGTTTTGGAGAGGAAGCGATTTCATGACATTCTATGTTACAAAAATAGGTTACTTTGTTCATTATTGAGATTGAATATATTGCCCTTCCTAAAGGAGGCAATTTTTTTTTATTTCCTACATAAAATTGGTCCTGAATTAATTAATTAATAAATAAATATAAGTCTTAGCCTTATTCAAGTGATGTTAGTGAAATTTAAAAAACCAAGCTTTGACTTTGTTTGCAAGAGAGAGTTCACGTGCGTGCACGCATAGAGAGAGAGAGAGATGTTATTTTTCTTACCTTGATCGAGGATGATTTGTGATCAAGGTAAAATTTATGCTCTTCAACTCGAATTGTGTTCTTGATTAAAAAGCTTTTATCTTCAAGTGTTCCGTAAAGAAACAATTTGGTGAGATTTACTCATCTTTTCCATGGTTGTTATTGTTAATATCCACCCTTGTGATGATGTTTTTGTTGCTGAGATAATTCAAGTTAGCGGCTTGATGATGTTATGTGAATACTTTATTGAAAAACAAACCTTGTATTCCAATTATTTGATATAGTTGAATAAATTTAATGAACTATAGTTTCATTAATTTTATATACACTTGGATTTTTTAAGTAAAAAATATTTATA